GTTTTTTAAGCAGCGGTCTCCTGCCTAGATAGTGCTGTCTCCCCTTACAGTGTTTTTAATTAGACAGCCCACTGCTGGTGGTCTTTGCAATTGTAATGGTCCCCTTTCTTAGAGCCAATCTGTCTGAGGATAGCTATGTGCTAGCTCAGTGATTGCTCCCCTGCTTAGGGTTTTAAGTAGCGGTCTTTTGAGCCCTTACCCTAGACAGTGTTGTCTCCCCTCTCTGGGTCGTAAGTAGACAGCCCACTCTTTGTGGTCTGGGTAGTTTTCAGTCAGTCCCCCTCCTGGTAGCCCTTCCTAGGTACATAGCTATCTGAGGATATCTATGTGCCAGCTCAGTGACTGCTCCCTTCTTAAGGTCCTTAAGTAGCGGTCTCCTTGAACTCTTGCCTAGACAGTGCTATCTCATTAAGTAGATAGCCCACTCTCTGTGGTCTGGGCAGCTCTGTAGGAAGGCCATCTCGGCTGTGTTATTCTGGTCCACAAGCCTTCATTAGACCTTAGGGACATAGCTATCTGAGGATAGCTGTGTTCTAGCTCAGCAGCTACTCTCTTTATCTGGGATTTAAGTAGCATCTTTTGAGCTCCTCTAGAGGCTTTCTAGTTCACCTACTCAGTGGTCTTGTGTATCCAGGCTAGTTCTGCTCACATAGCATAGCTGTTCTCTTGACTTGGATGGGATGTTCCCCTTGATCTATTCGGGTTCCCCTGTTTCTGCCAAGTTGCGTGAGCGGCCCGTGGTGTCAGTGGCATGGTCCCTTTCTGAGGAAAGGCTTTGTTTGTCTGTCGCTTCCTTTCCCACCACCCACCAAGTGGGCAGGCATGCGCCTCGGCACGGTGTGTTTGGATTTCGTTCCCCAATGTAGGGAGCGCAGATGGTTCCCTGAGAGGGAGCGAGACGCTGCGTCCTCTAGCGGACACTTGACTGCCGCCAGCAGGACCAGTGTCTGAAGCACGTGTGAAACAACTCCAATCCTATTGGCCCACGTAGCCTGTGATGTCACAGGTTGAACACATCACCAACTTAGTTGTCTGGAGGAGATGTGAAACAGGCAGCCCGAAGCCCTGGCGAGGTGACGCAGTGTCTCATTCCCTCTCGGGGAACCATGGTTACATGCGTAACCCGAGACATTCTTTGTCTTTGGGTTTGTCTTTGTCTCTCTAGGTCAATCACTTCTCTGTGTCTCAGGCCATTCCATGTTCTGCATGTTGTTGTGAACCAGTCATATTAGAGTGGTCAACGCTGTCCTAATAATCGTCCTCCTATAAGCAGAACAGTTTAAAAGAAGGGTACTGGTTAACTTCAGCCAGGATGGTTAACTTCTAAGAAGTGTGTCTGCAGGATGCCGATTGAAGGATTGCTGTTGCTTGTTGCCACAATAAATAGTCTTCAAACAAACAGGCAATGTGACCAAGCTTGTGTCGAAATAAGATCTGAACCAGAGTGGCAGATATGATACATACTTTTACTGTTTAGATGACATATTTTGGTCCCACTTTATATTAAGTGGCCTTAACTACTATTTACTTACATTTAAATTAATAATTTGGTACAATGCTCTTATTGTGTACATGTTTTTACATTGTACTTATATTTTAAAAATACAACCCGTGGTGAGAAACATGGCCATGGGAACGTGCTCCATGACCGCTCGCATAGGCAGTATAGTTTCTCCCTTCATCATATACTTGGGTACATCAGTTTTTTTCTTGCTTCTATAACTTTAAATATAGCCACTAGTAAATCTGAACATTGCACAAGTCTGTATTTTGATAATTGATTATTTTTCTCCGTAAAGGTAACTACTATAAATACATTCCTTATATTGTCATTGGAAGCCTGGCAGTGTTTTCTGGCTTAATTACATTACTGTTGCCAGAAACTAAAGGAAAAGTTCTCCCTGAGACCATTGTGCAGATGCAGCGAATAAAAGGGTAATTGCATTATTGCCCCATCTTCTTACCTGATGCAGTTAACTGGCTTAAAAATTATCATGTTTACCTTTAACAATGTTCTCTATATTCAGTTCAGCGTTTGGGGCTTTTAGATAAAATACATGTGATTTAATGTCTGATTTTCATCTGAACCACATTGAGATAAAATACAACATCTCATATATTTTATCTCACTTAGACTGAGGAGCTCCAAAAAGCAGGATGCAATGATGTGGACAGCAGACAAAAGTAAAGTCTTCAAAGAAGTGAAACTTTAACAACTGGACAGTAAAATAAAAACAATCATGTCCTGTTAATCAAATGAGCGACCCTAACCCTAAATGAATTACACTGTTGAGCTGGCATCACAACATAAATTTGTCTTGGTTTTCTGACTTTTATAGGCAGATCATGTATGCGAGACAAATCCACCTCATGAGGAGCTTTACTGCCTTTGATGTGTTATCATAATGTCTGCTATAAAACATCTCAAGCTACATGGCAAAGCATGTCAAAGTCAGCTTGTGCCCCCCAGCCATTTCTGATCAGAGATTTAGATCTTTCCCATGTGTTTTACCATGTTTATCAGGAACAAAAGTCACTGTATTAACAGAAACAGGCCTGTAAACAGAGATGGGCATAGATACATGAAAATGTATTTAAAATAAAAATACAAAATACTGTGTGGAAAAATGTATTTAAATACAAATACAAAATATGGTGTGAAAAAGTGTTTTTAAATACAAATACAGTATTTTGTATTTTGAAAATACACAAAATACATGTGAAATTGGCCATCCAATGTAGGCATCCCTATTGGCTGAAATCTATCTGGACCTATTCTGAATGCAAAAAAAAAAGAAAATAAATTAGATGTGTACAACTGCTTAGAAACTTCAGTTTCCATTTTGCATACCTCTTCCCTCCCCCTGACCTGTAGGAAATACAAAATTACAAAACTACAAAAAAAAAAAAAAAACTTGACAAGAAGTAAATATAAAAAGTGTTTGTTTTATATAAAGTTTATTCAAATTAGAAAGTTTATCTAAAATGTAATTTTTTAAATTAGAATTCATTTAAATAGCATTTAACACTATTTGCTCAAAGTTTTTTTTTTTTTGATGAACAATAAAACCAAAAGCTGAAGATGTTTTGTGGTGTACCATTCATCAGTGTTTGTCAGTATTATAATCAATAATCAGTATTGTTCAATTTAGTGTTATATATGTTATCATATTCATACAGTAGCCTATGTTTTGTTCTAATGTCACAAGTCATAATCTCAAGTTTACTGGGTTTTACACAATTTTTTAATTATTTTGTGTGGGTTTAAGTAGTATGCTCAAAAATATTTTCACATGTCCTCCAAAATAACCCACAACCTTATCAGTTTATATATGAAGAAATCCTTTTAGTCATAAACTTCTCACGAAATATGGCGACCGGGAATGGATTGCGAAAGCGTGCGCACTGATTATGAATTTGTGGTTATGGATTGAAAAACCGAAGGTACAATTTACAAAATCTGAGAGCACGGATTGGAAATTTGTGGGTACAGTTTATTAATCCGTGGACACGATTTGTTAAACCGAGGGAACAGTTTAAGAATTCGAGAGTACGGTTTATAAACTGAGGGGATGTTTTGCAAAACCGTCGCCACGGATTGTTTGTTTTTTTCCCTACAGGTGACTTCCCAGGCTCCGGAGCTTCCTCTTCAGGAACTCGAGCTACATCGGACTCTGTGTGTGTCAGTCATATTTATTGTTGTCTGTCAATTGTGAAAGTTCATAAGCTCCAGCTATGTCTAAAGCTCACGCAAAGACAAAGCATTCAAAGGGCAAGAGCAAGCCACGTTATAGGTTGTGTGTTCCTCCCTGCCCAAGTTACATCACGGGTGGGGATACACAGCCTGTGTGTGGTTTGCTTGGGAGCGAAGCACGCAGAGTCGGCTCTCAAGGGGGCCGGCTGCCCGCATTGCGAGCGTCTCCCACTGCGTACACTTTGCTCCCGGAGGGAGCCTTCGCCAGCGTTCCTCGCGGTGCTGGCTCCACTTCCATTGAGGCGGAGCGGCGGCTGCATTCGTGGGGTTCATAATTGGATCTGGCGGAGGGAATGGAGACAGGCGAGTCCCTATCTCCTTCCTCACCCGCCAGATCCAGTGCCCGATCTCTGGGTTCGGAAGCCCGTTCTGCGGCTACTTCCTCCCGGGGTATGGGCTTGAAGCTCCACCTGTCTTCCTCCGAGGAGGTTGACGTGGAGGCCGTCGAAGAGGTTTCACACCCTCAATCGCCCCAGTTTGAGGAGCTAGTGGAGGTGCTTACTCGCGCCGTGACTAAATTAAAGATTGATTGGCCCGCTGAGAAGCAGGCCGAGCTGCAGCGAAGCAAGTTAGATGAACGGTTCCTGCACGCGAGGCCACCACCTCCATGCCGGAGCCTGCCATTTTTCCCCGACCTTCACACTGAGGTGTCGAGGTCGTGGGCCAGGCCTTTTTCGGCCCGTCTCTTCATCCCTGCCTCAGATTATTATGGGAATGTGGTGGGACTGACTGAGCGTGGCTATAGGGCGATGCCCTGGGTTGAACAGACGCTAGCTAGCTCTTTGTCCCCAGGCATGGCATCGTCCTTATAGGCTCCGACACTGCCCTCCAAGCCGCTGCGTACAACATCAGCGCTGGTGGGCAAGGGGTACGTGGCAGCAGGTCAGGCGTGTCTGCACACAATGTCGGTGTTAGAGGCGTACCAGGCAGACCTGCTTAAAGAGCTGGATGAGGGCGAGGAGCTTAACTCTGATAACATCGTGGAGTTAAGAAGAACCGCTGATTTCTCTCTCCGCACCACCAAGGAGACCGCCCGCACCATTGGGCGGTCCATGGCAGCTATGGTGGCAGCAGAGAGGCATTTGTGGTTGACCCTGTCTGATATGAAAGAGAAAGACAGGGTCTTCCTCCTCGATGCCCCGCTTGCACCTTCTGGCCTGTTCGGCGACGCTGTCAATTCAGTCGTCGACAGGGACCAGGAGGCTCATAAACAAGCGGCGGCATTTCAGTGGTTCCATCTGGGGTTGACCCTGTCCGATATGAGGGAGAAGGACAGGGTCTTCCTCCTCGATGCCCCGCTTGCGCCTTCTGGCCTGTTCGGTGATGCCATCAATTCCGTCATCGACAGGGACCAGGAGGCTCGTAAACAGGCGGCGGCGTTTCAGCGGTTCCTCCCTCAACGCATCTCAGCTCTGGGGGTTGCTGGGCGGGAGCAGTCCCCACCGCGTACCAGCTCCTCATATAGGGAGACTCAAAAACAGAGGTCCTCGACCAAACGATCCTGATTATTTGGGTGCAGGACTAGCGAGGGCAGGCCCTTCTGGGGAAGAGAGGCTCACACCACATTACACAGTGCCCGTCTCCCCCCAGTGCCCTCGGGAGAGCGTTCTGCCAACCCTGCCGGTGTTCCAGGGTGCAGCGGTCTCCAGTGAACATTTCTTTCAGTTACCGCCCGGCAACGTAGTGGCACTGAGAGGCTCGCAGCCTCTGTGGAGGTCCCCAGAGCAGCTAGTCGTTCTGGGCACACCAGAGATCTCGAGAGACTGATTCCCTTAGTAGATTATTTAGCAGCGTGGAAGCTACTGCCAAATGTGTCTCAATGGGTCCTGCGTACAGTAGAAAGAGGCTACAGAATCCAGTTCGGTTCTCATCCGCCTCGATTTAACGGGGTCACCCACACTCTAGTGGTAGAAGTAGTTACTCTCTTAAAGAAGGAGGCCATCAAGGTTCCGAGGACTGGTTTGTCACGATCGATCTAAAAGACGCATACTTCCATATCTCCATCCTTCCTCATCACAGGAAGTTCCTGAGGTTCGTTTTTGGGGGCTTAGCTTGCCAATATCGTGCTCTTCCTTTTGGCCTTGCACTCTCACCCCGTACTTTCACGAAGTGTGTGGATGCTGCTCTGGCTCCGTTGCAACTCCAGGGCATCCGCATACTCAACTACATCAAAGATTGGTTGATTTTAACTCATTCAGAGCAGGTAGCGGCTCGACATCAAGATGTCGTTCTCACTCACATGAGAGAGTTGGGGTTAAGACTAAATGCCAAGAAGAGTGTGCTTTCTCCATTACAGAGGACCACCTATCTGGGCGTGGTGTGGGATTCGACCACGATGCAGGCACGTTTGTCCCCTGCTCGGATCGAGTCGATCCTCACTGCAGTCAAAAAAGTGAAAGAAGGCCAGTCACTCACTGTCAAGTAGTTTCAAAGACTGCTGGGTCTGATGGCAGCTGCATCCAACATGATTACTCTTGGCCTGCTGTATATGAGACCCCTACAGTGGTGGCTCAAGACCAAGGGGTTCTCCCCAAGGGGAAGCCCGCTTCACATGCTCAAGGTCACGCGGAGGTGCCTACGTGTCTTAGACATGTGGAGAAAACCTTGGTTCTTGTCTCAGGGCCCGGTGCTGGGAGCTCCTTGTTGCCGTGTGATGCTAGCGACGGACGCGTCCCTCACCGGTTGGGGTAAGGTCATGAGTGGCCACCCTGCCCGCGGTCTGTGGAGTGGTCACCATCTGACATGGCATATCAATTGTCTGGAGATGCTGGCCGTATTTCAGGCATTGAAACACTTTCTCCCAGACCTGAGAGGTCACCATGTGTTGGTGCGCACCGACAACACAGCGGTGGTCTCATACATCAACCACCAGGGATGTCTGCGTTCGCGCCCCTTGTACAAGTTGGCGCACCAGATCCTTGTGTGGTCCCAGGAGAGACTCCTCTCGCTGAGAGCAGTGCACATTCCTGGGCATCTCAATATGGAAGCAGACATCCTGTCGAGGCAGGGGC